AAAAAAAAAAAACCAAACAGGTCTAAAGTCGAAAATAACCTTGCGACGTAGAGCGGCAGTCGAAAAAAACAAAATTGCCGGTCTAAAAGTTGAAAATAGCCCTGCGACGTAGAGCGGCAGTCGAAAAAAAAACAAAATTGCCGGTCTAAAAGTTGAAAATAACCCAGCGACGTAGAGCGGCAGTCGAAAAAAAAAAAAATTGCCGGTCTAAAAGTTGAAAATAACCCTGCGACGTAGAGCGGCAGTCGAAAAAAAAAAACAAAATTGCCGGTCTAAAAGTTGAAAATAACCCTGCGACGTAGACCTGCAGTCGAAAAAAAAAACAAAATTGCCGGTCAAAAAGTTGAAAATAGCCCTGCGACGTAGACCGGCAGTCGAAAAAAACAAAATTGCCGGTCTAAAAGTTGAAAATACCCCTGCGACGTAGAGCGGCAGTCGAAAAAAACAAAATTGCCGCTCTACGTCGCACTTCCCACTACTCACCTTCACCATCACCACACCCACCTTCACCACCACACCCACCTTCACCACCACACCCACCTTCACCCATCACCACACTCACCTGCGCCACACCACACCCACCTTCACCACCACCACACCCACCTTCACCACCACCACACCCCCCTTCACCACCACCACACCCACCTTTACCATCACCACACTCACCTTCACCACCACACCCACCTTCACCATCACCACACCCACCTTCACAATCACCACACCCACCTTCACCACCACCACACCCACCTTCACCACCACCACACCCACCTTCACCATCACCACACCCACCTTCACCATCACCACACTCACCTTCACCACCACACCCACCTTCACCTTCACCACACCCATCTTCACCACCACCACACCCGCCTTCACCACCACCACACTCACCTTCACCACCACCACACCCACCTTCACCACCACCACAGCCACCTTCACCATCACCACACCCCACCTTCCTCACCACCACCACACCCACCTTCACCCATCACCACACTCACCTGCACCATCACCACACCCACCTTCACCATCACCACACACCACCTTCACCACCACCACACCCACCTTCACCACCACCACACCCACCTTCACCACCACCACACCCACCTTCACCACCACACCCACCTTCACCACCACCACACCCCACCCTTCACCACCACCCACACCCACCTTCACCATCACCACACCCACCTTCACCACCACACCCCACCCTCACCCCATCACCACACTCACCTGCACCATCACACACACCACCACTTCACCACCTTCACCACCACCACACCACCTTCACCATCACCACACCCACCTGCACCATCACCACACCCACCTTCACCACCCACCACACCCACCTTCACCACCACCACAACCACCTTCACCACCACCACACCCCCCTTCACCATCACCACACCCACCTTCACCACCACCACACCCACCTTCACCAACACCACACCCACCTTCACCACCACACCCACCATCACCACCACCACACCCACCTACACCACCACCACACCCCCTTCACCATCACCACCTTCACACCACCTTCACCACCACCACACCCACCTTCACCATCACCACACCCACCTTCACCACCACCACACCCACCTTCACCATCACCACACCCACCTTCACCACCACCACACCCACCTTCACCATCACCACACCCACCTTCACCACCACCACACCCACCTTCACCATCACCACACCCACCTTCACCATCACCACACTCACCTTCACCACCACACCCACCTTCACCATCACCACACCCACCTTCACCACCACCACACTCACCTTCACCACCACCACACCCCACCTTCACCACCACCACACCCACCTTCACCACCACCACACCCCACCTTCACCATCACCACACCCACCTTCACCACCACCACAACCCACCTTCACCACCACCACACCCACCTACACCATCACCACACCCACCTTCACCACCACCACACCCACATTCACCTATCACCACACTCACGTGCACCATCACCACACCCACCTTCACCACCACTACACCCACCTTCACCACCACCACACCCACCTTCACCACCACCACACCCACCTTCACCACCACCACACCCACCTTCACCACCACCACACCCACCTTCACCACCACCACACCCACCTTCACCATCACCACACCCACCTTCACCACCACCACACCCCCACCTTCACCACCACCACAACCCACCTTCACCATCACCACACCCACCTTCACCACCACCACACCCACCTTCACCTATCACCACACTCACCTGCACCATCACCACACCCACCTTCACCACCACTACACCCACCTTCACCACCACCACACCCACCTTCACCACCACCACACCCACCTTCACCATCACCACACCCACCTTCACCACCACCACACCCACCTTCACCACCACCACACCCACCTTCACCATCACCACACCCGCCTTCATTATCACCACACCCACCTTCACCATCAGCACACCCACCTTCACCATCACCACACCCACCTTCACCATCACCACACCCACCTTCATTATCACCACACCCACCTTCACCATCACCACACTCACCTTCACTACCACCACACCTACCTTCACCACCACCACACCCACCTTCACCATCACCACACCCACCTTCATTATCACCACACCCACCTTCACCATCACCACACCCACCTTCACCCATCACCACACCCACCTTCACCATCACCACACCCACCTTCACCATCACCACACCCACCTTCACCACTACCACACCCACCTTCACCACCACCACACTCACCTTCACCACCACCACACCCACCTTCACCACCACCACACCCACCTTCACCACCATCACACCCACCTTCACCACCACCACACCCACCTTCACCACTACCACACCCACCTGCACCATCACCACACCCACCTTCACCATCACCACACCCACCTTCACCATCACCACACCCACCTTCACCACCACCACACTCACCTTCACCACCACACCCACATTCACCATCACCACACCCACCTTCACCATCACCACACCCACCTTCACCATCACCACACCCACCTTCACCATCACCACACCCACCTTCACCACCACACCTACCTGCACCATCACCACACCCACCTTCACCATCACCACACCCACCTTCACCATCACCACACCCACCTTCACCATCACCACACCCACCTTCACCATCACCACACCCACCTTCACCATCACCACACCCACCTTCACCACCACCACACTCACCTTCACCACCACATTCACCTTCACCACCACACCCACCTTCACCACCACCACACCCACCTTCACCATCACCACACCCGCCTTCACCATCACCACACCCACCTTCACCATCACCACACCCACCTTCACCACCGCCACACCCCACCTTCACCACCACACACCCACCTCAGCACCACAACACCTTCACCACCACACACCCACCTCAGCACCACAACACCTTCACCACCACACACCCACCTCAGCACCACAACACCTTCACCACCACACACCCACCTTCACCCATCACCACACTCACCTGCACCATCACCACACCCACCTTCACCACCACCACACCCACCTTCACCATCACCACACCCACCTGCACCATCACCACACCCACCTTCACCACCACCACCACCCCACCTTCACCACCACCACACCCACCTTCACCACCACCACACCCACCTTCACCATCACCACACCCACCTTCACCACCACCACACCCACCTTCACCATCACCACACCCACCTTCACCAACACCACACCCACCTTCACCACCACCACACCCACCTTCACCACCACCACACCCACCTTCACCATCACCACACCTTCACCACCACCACCCCCACCTTCACCACCACCACACCCACCTTCACCACCACCACACCCACCTTCACCATCACCACACCCACCTTCACCATCACCACACCCACCTTCACCACCACCACACCCACCTTCACCACCACCACACCCACCTTCACCACCACCACACTCACCTTCACCACCACACCCACATTCACCATCACCACACCCACCTTCACCATCACCACACCCACCTTCACCACCACACCTACCTGCACCATCACCACACCCACCTTCACCATCACCACACCCACCTTCACCATCACCACACCCACCTTCACCATCACCACACCCACCTTCACCATCACCACACCCGCCTTCACCATCACCACACCCACCTTCACCATCACCACACCCACCTTCACCATCACCACCCACCTTCACCATCACCACACCCACCTTCACCATCAGCACACCCACCTTCACCATCAGCACACCCACCTTCACCATCACCACACCCACCTTCACCATCACCACACCCACCTTCACCATCACCACACCCACCTTCACCATCACCACACCCACCTTCACCATCACCACACCCACCTTCACCATCACCACACCCACCTTCACCATCAGCACACCCACCTTCACCATCACCACACCCACCGTCACCATCACCACACCCACCTTCACCGTCACCACACCCACCTTCACCATCACCACACCCACCTTCACCATCACCACACCCACCTTCACCATCACCACACCCACCTTCACCATCACCACACCCACCTTCACCATCACCACACCCACCTTCACCATCACCACACCCACCTTCACCATCACCACACCAATATGATGGACTACATAGAGTACACGCCTCCATCCCCCTAAAATAACAGTACTCACAGTACCCAACTGTTCCAAGGCACAACAATGTACTGATGGGTTACTATACTGTTTGTATATTAATGTATCAGTGCAAAAAAAAGGTAGTTATGAGGAGAAAGCTCCAAGCCACTTATCTATGTTAAGACTTACCTTACATAACCTATCCTGCCCAAACAACCTTAGTATATATAATAGTACATATAATAGTACATATAATATAGTACATATATTAAGTTTTTTAGGATCCAGAGGACCATTTTTGCAGCTTTAAGTATAATATTGTTATGAGTAGTGACATTTAAGGCGGGAGGGTTGTAAGGGAGAGGTAGCCTGGTCGAGGACCGGGCCGCAGTGTCGCGTGATGATCGTATGATAACATAGAGTGTGTGGACAGGCGCGGCCGGAGTCGTCAGCCACGGTGCTGAACGCGTCCATGGGCCCGGCCAAGCCCACCATAGTCTGCTACATCTGCGGGCGAGAGTTCGGCAGCCTCTCCATCGCCATCCACGAGCCCCAGTGTCTGAGGAAGTGGAAGGTGGAGAACGACAACCTTCCTCACCACCTACAGCGACCACAACCTCGCAAACCTGACGTCATCTATGATGGTTAGTAACGTTAGTTCTTAGTGCTGGTTAGTTCTACCATTGTGTGGTGGTTAGTGTTCCCAGTGTGGTGGTGTAGTGTTGCCATTGTGTGGTGGTTAGTGTTCCCATAGTGTGGTGGTTAGTGCCCTCATCGGTGGTTAGTGTTGCCATTGTGTGGTGGTTAGTGTTCCCATAGTGTGGTAGTTAGTGCCCTCATTGTGTGGTGGTTAGTGTTGCCATTGTGTGGTGGTTAGTGTTCCCATAGTGTGGTAGTTAGTGCCCTCATTGTGCGGTGGTTAGTGTTGCCATTGTGTGGTGGTTAGTGTTCCCATAGTGTGGTAGTTAGTGCCCTTATTGTGTGGTGGTTAGTGTTCCCAGTGTGGTGGTTAGTGTTCCCATAGTGTGGTAGTTAGTGCCCTTATTGTGTGGTGGTTAGTGTTCCCAGTGTGGTGGTTAGTGTTCCCATAGTGTGGTAGTTAGTGCCCTCATTGTGTGGTGGTTAGTGTTCCCAGTGTGGTGGTTAGTGTTCCCATAGTGTGGTAGTTAGTGCATCCATCGTGTGGTGGTTAGTGTTCCCAGTGTGGTGGTTAGTGCTCCCATTGTGTGGTAGTTAGTGCATCCATCGTGTAGTGGTTAGTGTGCCCAGTGTGGTGGTTAGTGCTCCCATTGTGGGGTGGTTAGTGCTCCCATTGTGTGGTGGTTAGTGCATCCATTGTGTGGTGGTTAGTGTTCCCAGTGTGGTGGTTAGTGCTCCCATTGTGTGGTGGTTAGTGCTCCCATTGTGTGGTGGTTAGTGCTCCCATTGTGTGGTGGTTAGTGCTCCCATTGTGTGGTGGTTAGTGCTCTAATTGTGTGGTGGTTAGTGCTCCCATTGTGTGGTGGTTAGTGCTCCCATTGTGTGGTGGTTAGTGCTCCCATTGTGTGGTGGTTAGTGTTCCCAGTGTGGTGGTTAGTGCTCCCATTGTGTGGTGGTTAGTGCTACCATTGTGTGGTGGTTAGTGCTCCCATTGTGTGGTGGTTAGTGTTCCCAGTGTGGTGGTTAGTGCTCCCATTGTGTGGTGGTTAGTGTTCCCATTGTGTGGTGGTTAGTGCTCTAATTGTGTGGTGGTTAGTGCTCCATTGTGTGGTGGTTAGTGCTCCCATTGTGTGGTGGTTAGTGCTCCCATTGTGTGGTGGTTAGTGCTACCATTGTGTGGTGGTTAGTGCTCTAATTGTGTGGTGGTTAGTGCTCCCATTGTGTGGTGGTTAGTGCTACCATTGTGTGGTGGTTAGTGCTCCCATTGTGTGGTGGTTAGTGCTCCCATTGTGTGGTGGTTAGTGCTCCCATTGTGTGGTGGTTAGTGCTCCCATTGTGTGGTGGTTAGTGCTCCCATTGTGTGGTGGTTAGTGCTCCCATTGTGTGGTGGTTAGTGCTCCCATTGTGTGGTGGTTAGTGCTCCCATTGTGTGTGTGGTTAGTGCTCCCATTGTGTGGTGGTTAGTGCTCCCATTGTGTGGTGGTTAGTGCTCTAATTGTGTGGTGGTTAGTGCTCCCATTGTGTGGTGGTTAGTGCTACCATTGTGTGGTGGTTAGTGTTCCCAGTGTGGTGGTTAGTGCTCCCATTGTGTGGTGGTTAGTGCTACCATTGTGTGGTGGTTAGTGCTCCCATTGTGTGGTGGTTAGTGTTCCCAGTGTGGTGGTTAGTGCTCCATTGTGTGGTGGTTAGTGCTCCCATTGTGTGGTGGTTAGTGCTCTAATTGTGTGGTGGTTAGTGCTCCCATTGTGTGGTGGTTAGTGCTCCCATTGTGTGGTGGTTAGTGCTCCCATTATGTGGTGGTTAGTGCTCCCATTGTGTGGTGGTTAGTGCTCCCATTGTGTGGTGGTTAGTGCTCCCATTGTGTTGTGGTTAGTGCTCCCATTGTGTGGTGGTTAGTGCTCTAATTGTGTGGTGGTTAGTGCTCCCATTGTGTGGTGGTTAGTGCTACCATTGTGTGGTGGTTAGTGCTCCCATTGTGTGGTGGTTAGTGTTCCCAGTGTGGTGGTTAGTGCTCCCATTGTGTGGTGGTTAGTGTTCCCATTGTGTGGTGGTTAGTGCTCTAATTGTGTGGTGGTTAGTGCTCCCATTGTGTGGTGGTTAGTGCTCCCATTGTGTGGTGGTTAGTGCTCCCATTGTGTGGTGGTTAGTGCTCCCATTGTGTGGTGGTTAGTGCTCTAATTGTGTGGTGGTTAGTGCTCCCATTGTGTGGTGGTTAGGTGCTACCATTGTGTGGTGGTTAGTGCTCCCATTGTGTGGTGGTTATGTTCCCAGTGTGGTGGTTAGTGCTCCCATTGTGTGGTGGTAGTGCTACCATTGTGTGGTGGTTAGTGCTCCCATTGTGTGGTGGTTAGTGTTCCCAGTGTGGTGGTTAGTGCTCCCATTGTGTGGTGGTTAGTGCTCCCATTGTGTGGTGGTTAGTGCTCTAATTGTGTGGTGGTTAGTGCTCCCATTGTGTGGTGGTTAGTGCTCCCACTGTGTGGTGGTTAGTGCTACCATTGTGTGGTGGTTAGTGCTCCCATTGTGTGGTGGTTAGTGTTCCCAGTGTGGTGGTTAGTGCTCCCATTGTGTGGTGGTTAGTGCTCTAATTGTGTGGTGGTTAGCGCTCCCATTGTGTGGTAGTTAGTGCTCCCATTGTGTGGTGGTTAGTGCTCCCATTGTGTGGTGGTTAGTGCTCCCATTGTGTGGTGGTTAGTGCTCCCATTGTGTGGTGGTTAGTGCTACCATTGTGTGGTGGTTAGTGCTCTAATTGTGTGGTGGTTAGTGCTACCATTGTGTGGTGGTTAGTGCTACCATTGTGTGGTGGTTAGTGCTACCATTGTGTGGTGGTTATTGCTCCCAATGTGTGGTGGTTAGTGCTCCCATTGTGTGGTGGTTAGTGCTCCCATTGTGTGGTGGTTAGTACTCCCATTGTGTGGTGGTTATTGCTCCCATTGTGTGGTGGTTAGTGCTACCATTGTGTGGTGGTTAGTGCTCTAATTGTGTGGTGGTTAGTGCTACCATTGTGTGGTGGTTAGTGCTCCCATTGTGTGGTGGTTAGTGCTACCATTGTGTGGTGGTTAGTGCTCCCATTGTGTGGTGGTCAGTGCTCCCATTGTGTGGTGGTTAGTGTTACCGTTGTGTGGTGGTTAGTGCTCCCATTGTGTGGTGGTTAGTGTTACCATTGTGTAGTGGTTATTGCTCCCATTGTGTGGTGGTTAGTGCTCTAATTGTGTGGTGGTTAGTGCTCTAATTGTGTGGTGGTTAGTGCTCCCACTGTGTGGTGGTTAGTGCTACCATTGTGTGGTGGTTAGTGCTCCCATTGTGTGGTGGTTAGTGCTACCATTGTGTGGTGATTAGTGTTGCCATTGTGTGGTGGTTAGTGCTACCATTGTGTGGTGGTTAGTGCTACCATTATGTGGTGATTAGTGTTGCCATTGTGTGGTGGTTAGTGCTACCATTGTGTGGTGGTTAGTGCTACCATTGTGTGGTGGTTAGTGCTACCATTATGTGGTGATTAGTGTTGCCATTGTGTGGTGGTTAGTGCTACCATTGTGTGGTGGTTAGTGCTACCATTGTGTGGTGGTTAGTGCTACCATTGTGTGGTGGTTAGTGCTACCATTGTGTGGTGGTTAGTGCTACCATTGTGTAGTGATTAGTGCTACCATTGTGTGGTGGTTAGTGCTACCATTGTGTGGTGGTTAGTGCTACCATTGTGTGGTGGTAAGTGTTATCATTGTGTGGTGGTTAGTGCTACCATTGTGTGGTGGTTAGTGCTACCATTGTGTGGTGGTTAGTGCTCTCATTGTGTGGTGGTTAGTGCTACCATTGTGTGGTGGTTAGTACTACCATTGTGTGGTGGTTAGTGCTACCATTGTGTGGTCGTTAGTACTACCATTGTGTGGTGGTTAGTGCTACCATTGTGTGGTGGTTAGTGCTACCATTGTGTGGTGGTTAGTGTTCCATTGTGTGGTGGTTAGTGTTCCATTGTGTGGTGGTTAGTGCAACCATTGTGTGGTGGTTAGTGTTCCATTGTGTGGTGCTTAGTGCTACCATTGTGTGGTGGTTAGTGTTCCATTGTGTGGTGGTTAGTGCTACCATTGTGTGGTGGTTAGTGTTCCATTGTGTGGTGGTTAGTGCTACCATTGTGTGGTGGTTAGTACTACCATTGTGTGGTGGTTAGTGTTCCATTGTGTGGTGGTTAGTGCTACCATTGTGTGGTGGTTAGTGCTACCATTGTGTGGTGGTTAGTGCTACCATTGTGTGTGGTTAGTGCTACCATTGTGTGGTGGTTAGTGCTACCATTGTGTGGGTGGTTAGTGCTACCATTGTGTGGTGGTTAGTGCACCATTGTGTGGTGGTTAGTGCTACCATTGTGTGGTGGTTAGTGCTACCATTGTGTGGTGGTTAGTGCTACCATTGTGTGGTGGTTAGTGCTACCATTGTGTGGTGGTTAGTGCTACCATTGTGTGGTGGTTAGTGCTACCATTGTGTGGTGGTTTAGTGCTACCATTGTGTGGTGGTTAGTACTACCATTGTGTGGTGGTTAGTGCTACCATTGTGTGGTGGTTAGTGCTACCATTGTGTGGTGGTTAGTGCTACCATTGTGTGGTGGTTAGTGCTACCATTGTGTGGTGGTTAGTGTTCCATGTGTGGTGGTTAGTGTTCCATTGTTGTGGGGTTAGTGCTACCATTGTGTGGTGGTTAGTGTTCCATTGTGTGGTGGTTAGTGCTACCATTGTGTGGTGGTTAGTGTTCCATTGTGTGGTGGTTAGTGCTACCATTGTGTGGTGGTTAGTGTTCCATTGTGTGGTGGTTAGTGCTACCATTGTGTGGTGGTTTAGTACTACCATTGTGTGGTGGTTAGTGTTCCATTGTGTGGTGGGTAGTGCGCTACCATAGTGTGGTGGTTAGTGTTCCATTGTGTGGTGGTTAGTGTTCCATTGTGTGGTGGTTAGTAATACCATTGTGTGGTGGTTAGTGTTCCATTGTGTGGTGGTTAGTACTACCATTGTGTGGTGGTTAGTGCTACCATTGTGTGGTGGTTAGTACTACCATTGTGTGGTGGTTAGTGCTACCATTGTGTGGTGGTTAGTGCTACCATTGTGTGGTGGTTAGTGCTACCATTGTGTGGTGGTTAGTGCTACCATTGTGTGGTGGTTAGTACTACCATTGTGTGGTGGTTAGTGCTACCATTGTGTGGTGGTTAGTGCTACCATTGTGTGGTGGTTAGTACTACCATTGTGTGGTGGTTAGTACTACCATTGTGTGGTGGTTAGTACTACCATTGTGTGGTGGTTAGTACTACCATTGTGTGGTCAGCGCTGCCATGGTTATCACTCATATTGTATAGTTGTTAGTTCCGTCGTTGCAGGGTGAACAGCATCCCGTTTTCTCCAAGCGACAATATACAATAATCTCATGTATTCTTGACGATATATAATTTTGCCATATAAATGTGAGGCAGCAAATTGCTGACTGTTGTTCCTTTGTTTATCTTCACAATGTTTCCCTCTACCCTGACCTCGGGGTAACTTTTGTATATTATATATATTATTTATAACTTGCATGTTCTCTCGTTAAATCTCTCTCTCTCCACTTAAGTTAACATTGTGCTGTTTTCTCTTGCTGGGGGTGTCGGGCGGGTGCTGTAACCTTGTGCTGCCTCCCTCCCCAGAGGGCGGCAATATCAACCGGGAGGCCATGGCGGAGGCGGCGTGGCAGACGCACCTGGAGCAGCTGGTCAAGTGCGAGAAGTGCGGCCGCACCTTCTTCCCGGACCGCCTCATCGTCCACCAGAAGGCCTGCCTCAGGGACGCCTAGGGCGTCTCATCGTCCACCAGAAGGCCTGCCTCAAGGACGCCTAGGGCGTCTCATCGTCCACCAGAGGGCCTGCCTCAGGGACGTCTAGGAGCCACAACCTGCCTCCTCCAGCACTACCTGCCATGGATATAAATCAGGAATTTGATGCTGCTTCTCATTCTCTTATTTTTTACTCCTCTTGGTCCTTAACTGCCTCTGCCTCGTCCTCCTCCTCTTCTCTGGCATCGATAGTGACCCTGGTGATGCTATACAAGAATGGATAATGCAATCAATTCTTTTAATTTGTATCTAATCATTCATTTTCTTTGAACTTTTCTCTTCTCCATAATATCATTCAATCTCCTTCAGTCTCCTCCTACATTTTCTCTTCGTCCTTTCTTTTGTCTTTGAGCTTGTTGTCCACCTTTACTCCAGGAGCCAAGAATTACATGTAGACATTCCTCCTGCTCGGGGCCTCGGTCAAAGAAACCAGCAGTTGATCAAGGACGACATCAAGACCACAGGCAACAACCTTAAGTATTGCCTGAATGACCTCAATCCTGTCACAATCAAACTCTGATCACTCTGCCTCTGATGACTTGTAAATCTCCCGCCAATATCCACACATCTCCCCCCGAAAAAGATATTGGATCTGAGGCATACCATCGCAATATATATCTGCTTTTCTTCCGACAGTTCGGGAAGATAATCATCTTACGGTTTAAATAATCATCTTACGGGGTAGGTAATCATCTTACGGTGAAGATAATCACCCTAGTGCTACACTAGACACAAAGTAGCTCTAGATGGGCAGGCTAAAGAGTGGTTTCAAGATTCAACTTTAATGGCCAAGAATTATGTGATTCACCTGGAAGGTCCTTGACTCATCTAGGAGGTACCTGATTCACCTGGGAGATATTTGACTCATCTGGGAGATATTTGACTTACGTGGGAGGTACCTGACTTACCTGAGAGGTACCTGACTCACCAGTGAGGTAACTGACTCACCACAGACTCACCAGTGAGGTATCTGACTCACTTCGTAGGAACATGACTCAACTGGAAGGTACGTGACTCACGTGTAACGTACCTGACTCACCAGAGACACAGAGAATGCTTAAGATTATGTTGTATTGGTTACCGTAAACAAACAAACAATATACTGTATTATTTAACACTCACTTCACTTGGTGTGAAATGACTCCATTGAGCTCCGACGGTGTATAATGTGTGTAAATATAAAGTATTTTAATTCACTGCTGTTTCCTTGAAAGCTTTCCTACATGGTACAAGATTCAACACGGGAACAGTGGGCATGACAGTGCTAGAGACCACTGTCACCTGATGATCACTGGTGACGGCGGACACACGTCACTACTCAGCCTTATTAAGGGGTCAGGGAGTGTGATGTCACTGATGGCGGTGATGGTGGTGGCGTCACTGATGGCGGTGATGGTGGTGGCGTCACTGATGGCGGTAATGTCACTGATGGCGGTGACGTCACATAAGGTGTGACGATGGTTGGGAACTGACCAGGTGCCACCATTGCCAGGGTAGAGGGCACAAAGGTGAAAGGTTGCTCCTCTGTTACAAGTTGACGTCCTGCCGCCAGTCAACAGTTCTTATACCATATCAATGTTACTTTTGCTACTGTATAGGTAGTTTTTGGATGTTTGGAGCTCGGGTGATGACAGGTGGGTGACCTGCCCTGGTGAGGCTTGGGCCAGGAGCCCCAAGGTGGGTGACCTGCCCTGGTGAGGCTTGGGCCAGGAGCCCAAGGTGGGTGACCTGCCCTGATGAGGCTTGGGCCAGGAGCCCCAAGGCTTGGGCCAGGAGCCCCAAGGTGGGTGACCTGCCCTGGTGAGGCTTGGGCCAGGAGCTCCAATGTGGGTGACCTCAACTTAATTGTCGCAAGTGCATATGGCTGCCACGAGAGGTAACCGGCTGTGCTCGGGTCTCTCCTCAATTCTTTTCCCCACTTCCCTTCCGTCTCGATCCACCCTTACCACCCCTCTCCACCTCCCCACAACCCGCTCTCCTGCTCTCCCGTGTTCTCTCTGTCTCTAAACATCACCCCTTCTTCCTTTTCTCCCGATCTCTCTCTATCAGAGAAAAGTGAAGAAATCTAGAGAATCAGCCAACCCCCTTTCACCGATTAGGTTGCGATGAGGAGGGTGACTTTTTCGGTCCCACTCCTTCCTAAAAGACACCTCGACCACCCTATGTCCGTCCTGTAGCCCAGACAATTCACCCTGCAAAATTGGCCGAGGCTTCACTTGACGAACAGTACTATAAGAGAAAAGATACAAATCTTCAACTGATTTAAAAACAAATGTTTCATCATCAATGAAGCAAACATTCCATCATCAATGAAACATTGACTATTAATAAAGAACAAATATGCTGCAAGATTTGCTAACAAAAAATTAATAAATAAATAAATATATATATATATATATATATATATATATATATATATATATATATATATATATATATATATATATATATATATATATAGGTAAATCAAAAATCACTTCTCCAAAATTCATTTTATTTCTAGTCTGACGCGACACGGGCGCGTTTCGTAAAACTTATTACATTTCAAAGACTTCACAAATACACAACTGATTAGAACTTACGTATCCCTGATTTTATATCTACATTTGAGTGAGGTGGGAGGGGTGATGTGGCATTAACACAAGACAGAACAAGAGGGGATATTAATAGGGTATTAAAAGTATCAACACAAGACAGAACAGAAACAATGGGTATTGAATAGAGTGTTTGTAGAAAGCCTATTGGTCCATATTTCTTGATGCTTCTATATTGGAGCGGAGTCTTGAGGTGGGTAGAATATAGTTGTGCAATAATTGGCTGTTGATTGCTGGTGTTGACTTCTTGATGTGTAGTGCCTCGCAAACGTCCAGCCGCCTGCTATCGCTGTATCTATCGATGATTTCTGTGTTGTTTACTAGGATTTCTCTGGCGATGGTTTGGTTATGGGAAGAGATTATAT